GGAGAGAAAAGAGAGCACAAATGATATCTAAGAGAGAGAAAAAAAGATAGGAGAGAAAAGAAAAAGGAGAATATATATTTATGGAGAAAACACCACAGAGCCAATAGATAAACCAAACAAATACAAACACCAAACACTCAGTAAAGAGGGTGAGGCAAGGCTCTGCATTTTTTTTTCCATTTATCATAATCAACACTGAAGCTCAATGAGATTAATGACTTCCTTTCTGACCAAAGTTAAATATATGAGCAGTGTCTCCCTCTTGAGATATTAGGATACACATATTTATTTAATATATTTGTAACATCCTCACAACTTATATTATTATTATATTAGGAAAGAAAAACCTATAAACATGATTAAATCTCTTACCTCAAAATCAACATCTGCACAACAGCCGCACACAAGACATGGACCAATAATTTTGAGTACATCCTCTCTCCTCTCATTTTGAATGGTTAACTTTGGCAGGCATGGGTGCCAATTTTGAATAACATAACCCACTGGTACACCAGGAGGAGCATAAATTTCTATCTACAAAAGCAAAAGAACATGTAAATTGTAATAATAATAATGATGTCTAATAATGGCTCTTATTTATTGAATATATTCTAAGTGTCAGACACTGTTCTAAGCACCACTTGATTTACAACAAGTTGGTACTATTATTCCTATTCATGGAGGAAGTAAATGAAGAACAGAGAGTTAACTAACTTTATCAGATTCCCTAGCTGCAAAGTAGATGAGATGAGTCACACACTCAGACAGGCTGCATGCATAGACTCCACTCTTCAGCACTGCTCTCCAGACCTGTACATTTAAAAATTTCCATACTTATAAAACACTAGAGGCCTGCTGCACAAAATTCTTGCATGGGGGGAAGGGGGGGGTCCTTCAGCCCAGCCTGCACCCTCTTGCAATCTGAGACTGCTGGCTCCTGCTCGCCCAATTGGGTCTAAACCGGCAGTTGGACACCCCTCTAGCAATCCAGGACTGCTGGCTCCTGCTCGCCTGCCTGCATGATCGCCCCTAAACACTCGCCTGCCTGCCTGATCGCCCCTAACCGCTCTCCTGCCTACCTGATCGCCCCTAACCTCTCATCTGCCTGCCTGCTCGCCCCTAACCACTTGCCTGTCTGCCTGATTTCCCTGGTCTCTGGTCATTCCACCATTTTGGTCACTGGGCTTTTATTATATAGGATGTTGAAATTATTAAGGTACTTTTTTCTCAAACTCCTATAAAAACAGTGGCTTAGATGTATGAATAGAATCTTGATTGCTGGTGCAATTTTCAAATCTGAGTAGCAATGGCTCTATAATGGAAAGGAACTGGGGCCTAAAATCTTGGCTCTGCTATTAACGGGGTGACCTAGGGCGAGTATGTCAAATTCTTGGCCCATGAGCTACATATGGTCCACAACAAATATTTTTGCAGCCTGGCCAATATAATGGTATGTAAGAAACATTTTAATAAAAATTGCATAACTTAATTTTTACAATATCCTGTTATACATAATTATTAATAACTAGAGGCCTGGTGCATGAAAATTCATGTACTGGAGGGGGATTCCCTCAGCCCAGCCTGTCCTCTCTCACAGTCTGGGAGCCCTCAGGGACGGGAGGCGACCCAGGGATCAGGGGAAGGCGACGCCCCCATCACACCTCTGCTGCTGCCACTGCCAGCAGTGCAAGCCTCGGCTGGCCCTGGTTACCTGAGCCTTGGGCAGCCCTGGGAGGCTGGGCAGCCAACACCAAGGCTTGTCTGCACCTTGGGCGTCGGCTGGGCAGCCGAAATCCGAGACTTGCCTGTGCCTCGGGCTGGCCCTGGGCAGCTAGGGGTTGAAGGGACTGGGAGACTCCGGAGGTAGGCATGTGGAGAGGCTGGACCCGCTTGGGGGCGGGCCCAGCCATGTTGCATGCCTGCCACACCGGCAGAGCTGAGGGGACTGGACGCTGCCATCTTTGAGGGCATGATGGTCAATTAGCATATTCACTCTCTATTAGATAGGATGAACTACAACATTCGCTAATGACTAATTACTATAATTGTATTGCATTCATTTCCCTTATGCGCCGTACACACAGGCACACCATCTCTCTCCACTAATACTAGCAGCGAATATTTTAGCAGCTGATTGCCACGTCATTAGTCTTGTACTGACTTGTTTGGTGTGCACAACGGAAATATTTTGCTTTTGGAGAACAAGAAAAATAGGTTTATGTTTGTTATGCTTATTAATTTGTGCAGTATTCAGTGTCTGGTAAGTTAATGCTCAAGAAAAAATATTAATTTTTATTAAAATGTTCTATTATTTTATGTTAACAAGTACTCATTTATTTCAGCCCTTTGTATTCAGCATGTCTCTATTGAAATAAACCTATATTTCTATGAAAATTGAGGCTTTTGGTTTTTTGCAGCCCACATAAACTTAAACCTTGTTTATTTGGCCCATGTTAGTCTTTGAGTTTGACATGCTTGACTTAGGGAGTTCCTTAGCATGCTCATGTGTAAGTGACATTGTCATAAACTATTTTCTAAGGTCAATAGTATAATGTTTGTCAATGTGCTCTTTACATTCAGGGCATATTCCACCAAACTCTCAGTTTTTCCTCAGATATTCCTATGGATAGATACCATTATACCTAACCTAAATGACAAAACACAACATAATTCAGTAGGAATAGCTTCAGTTATCTTTTGAAAATAAATGCAGTCTTAGACTTCAAATATCTATGTGCCTGTGCCTTGGTCGGTCTGTGACCTGGTCTCACAGCTACTTGTCTGGAATGACAGCTGTGACAAGTAGCTGTGGAGATAGAGGCAAAGACCAACTTTCCTGTATGCTCTCTGTTCCCTGGTGCCTCCCCTGAGATCCACGTTCTGTACCAGTTAGCTGACAAGTAATATAGAATTGAAGGCACCCACACCTAGCATATACCTATTACAGTTGCACAAATATATTAATTTTTTTTAATGGGGAACTTAAGAACACAGGAGTTGGCATTTCTCAAAGGTGGTATCTCCTAGGTTTCTTCCATAATAGGTTGGCCAAAATTGTGAGATGGACATATCTGTTCTTTTCTTCATTCTTCTGTACACTTGATCCTGGAATTGTATCCTAGGATATTCTCTGCAGTGCCCTCCTCTGGCTTTAGCCAGACCTCTCATGGTCATTTAAAGTAAGGGACTTTACCAACATGCCTTATCTTCTCAACTCTCCCCAAAGTCTGACTCTGAGCAGAAGCTCATTCCCATGAGATGAACTTCTCAGGGCCAGGGGGCTAACTGCTCACTATTTTTCACCTGCCACCCTTCTTCTCCCAATTACTCTCAAGCATAAAACAATAGTTCATGGACCAAATTTTAGAAAATCTTATTTGATTATACAGTTTCAATGAAAGGGTGATAATTCTTGTTGAACTACTTTACATATTACCCGGGTAAATGCTCACTGACCTCCTGAAGGCAGCAGGGGCAACAACAGCTGGTACATCTTAGTGGTCTCTCCAGAGTTATGACCTCTCGGCCCATAAGATCAAGAATCCTCATGGTAAAAGACCTATTAGCCCCACAGCAATTTCGGGTACAGCAATCAGTATCTTCCACGGCAAAGTAAATCCTCTGTCCAAGGCTGTTCTTAATTTCATATTTGTTATTTGTTTCAAAACCTATTAAGACTAAAAACATAAAAGGGAGTCATTATGACCATTATGATAAAAGAATATAGGATTGAATCTATCCTAAGATACTATAATATCTAGTTATACAATTTTTAGATGATACTTCATGTCACATTGGGAGAAAGCAAAGGAAAGGTGTTTGGAGATGATTCCAACAAAGGAAAAACAACAAAGGAAGAGAATTAGGAGAGAGTATGAAAGTATACAAAATTAAGAGTCCTGTGTGAGACATGGAAAAAAAAACCCATATTCTCCTAATTCCATAGAATCGTGTTGAAAAGGGAGACTTAAGAACTCATACTATTTGCTCACCTTAAAATGTCTTTCCAGCTCCTGAGCAATCCATACAAATAGTTAATAATTACTAAATTTGGAACTTTATGTTTTATGATTAATATATACTAGTATACACTTTAATATAT